AGGGCACCAGCTAGCTACCTGGGCACTGACAGAGAGAGGAAGAGAGAGAGAGGGAGGGCACCAGCTAGCTAGCTGGGTGCACACACACACACAGAGAGAGAGAGAGGAAGAGGGAGAGAGGGGGGCACTAGCTAGCTAGCTGGGCTCATCCTTGAAGTCAAAGCACTTGAGACAGAGGCAGAACGGCTGTGAGACTGAGGCCTGCCCGGCCCACATAGAGTGCCAGTTTCAAACAAAGCCAACAGCATCAGGACATGGCGCACTGCTACAATCCTACTCACTGCTCCAGAAGCCTCAGCTACATAGTGAATTCAGTGGCACCTCGGACTACAGGAGACCTTGTCAAAAAGAAAAAAAAAAAAAATCCAAGGGTTGAAGGAAACACCAAAATACACATTTTGTTTTAATTTTGTTTCATTTTTCTTTCTTTTTTAACAGCTGAAAATTTATTAAATTTTTATTTTTACATTGTTATCATTTACGTCCTGACTGCAGTTGCCCCTCCTCCTCTCCTGTTTTTCTTTTTGACACAGGGTCTCACGATGCTGTCCCGCTGTCCTTGAACTAGCTTAGGTCTCAAACTCAGAGATCCCTTACCTCTGCCTCCTTGCGCTGGCTGGATTAAAGGTAAGTGGCAGCAGGTTCCGCCTGCTTTAGCGTTTATTACGTGTGCTTGTTTCACATACACGCGTGTAGGCGGGCCGTGTGTGTGCATTGCTTGTGGAGGTCAGAAGGCAGCGATGAACCCCTGGAAACGTGAACCACCATGTGGGTGCTAGGGCCTGAACCAGAGTCCCCTGTAGGGACAAGTGCTCCTAACCACTGGGCTCTCTCCAGCCACTGCCTTCTCTTCGATGGGGCCTACACAGCACCAGGCTGGCTTGGGCTCAGTGGAGAGCCTAGAGCGACTTCAGACCTGAAATCCTCCCAAGTGCTAGGACCATAGGAGGCATGAGCCCCTACCCTTCACTAACAGTATGTCTGGGAAGCCAGAACTCCCTGTAATCCCAGCACTCGGGAGGCTCCAGGAGGCAGATTACCCTGGATCTGAGGCATGGTCTGTGCAGTGAGACCCTGTCTCAAAAACAAACAGTTTATGATGTCACCGTCTTCGGGAAGCCTGCCCGTGCTTCCTGTGTGCTCTGCTGGCGGCTCCTGAGGAAGGGATTCTAGGGTCACTCAGCGGCCCTGTCCTCAGGTTGAGGAATGATAAAGTGAGGTGTTGAACCTTCCTTTTTTTCCTCACACACCCTTTAACATTTTTCATTTATTTATTTGTTTGTTTGTTTATTGTTTTTTCGAGGCAGGGTTCCTCTGTGTAGCCCTGGCTGCTGCCCTGGGCTTGCTTTGTAGACCAGGCTGGCCTGGAACTCACAGAGAGCCACCTGCCTCTGCCTCCCGAGTGCTGGGATTACAGGCGTGTGCCACCGTGCCCAGCTTTATTTATTTTTAATGTGTTTGGCTTGTATGTATGTAAGTATCCCATGTGTGTTCCTGGTGTCCATGGAAGTTAGAAGATGGCAGGACAGCCAGGAATACACAGAGAAACCATCTAAAAAAAAAAAAAAAAGAAAAAAGAAAAAAAAAAGGAAAAAACAAAAAATGTTCCTAATCACTGAGCTATCTCTCCAGTTCTGTCCATATTCTTCCTATTACTTTATTTTCTGAAGACAAGGTTTCTCTGTATAGTTTCGACTGTCCCAGAACTCTCTGTAGACCAGGCTGGCCTGCTTCTGCCTCCCAACTACTGGGGTTAAAGCTACGCTGCTCCTCTGCCTGGCTATGGGCTTTGTTTTTGACCTGAAATTGCACGTGTGAGGAGGATGACCTTGACCTCCTGATCCTTGGACCTCCACCTCTCAAGCGTGGGGTGTGTTGCCACCGTGGCTCCTTCAGCTTTAGGGGAGGCCTCGCTGGAAATGACAGAACACACGGCCTTAGGGGGAACCCCGCTGCCTTGCGTGTAGAAGGAAGGCTGGGCCGCTGTAATGCGGGAACTGAAACCGGTGGAGACCACAGCGCATGTGATTGTACAAAGGCCCAGGGAGTTTAACGGGAGCATGAGGAGGCCATGGGTCAGGGCCGTGAATGCTTTACTCACTGGGCTTCCTTGGAGCCGCGGCCGGCTCAGGGTCTGCGTCACTGCTGCTGGTGGTCTGCCAGGAGGTAGCCAGGCCTGTCTAGGGTGCATTGCTTGAGGCCAGCCAGCCATGCTGGTCACGAGGCTGTCATGTTCCCCGGGCACAGAGCTTCTGAGAGTGCTCCCACTTACATGTTACATTACATTGTTATATTGTTATATATTATGCTATCGTGTGTCTGCTCCACCACTAGGATGTGTCCTGCTGTTTGTAACTGTCTCTGCAGTGGCCTAAGCACTTTTCCTGCCTGGGCTTCCCGGCTGCTCTGCTTCACAGGTGTGAGCCATCATGCCCAGCTCCTGTCCATGCCCCGACAACAGGGGATGCTATCTGTGGCTATGGCGATGGAACAAAGTCTGCCAGGCCCAGGAGGGGAGGTGTCCTCGTCATTTGCAGCTATTTGCCCTGGTCTTCATGACAGCGGCAAAGCTTTCTTCTCTCCTCCTGCCTCTCCCTCTTCTTCTTTACCCAGGTCTCACCACGTAGCTCAAGCTGGCAGAGAACTTACTTCCTAGGCCAGGCTGGCCTGGAACTTGCAGAGCTCTGGTTGCCTCTTCCTGTGTGCTGGGATTAAAAGCGTGTGCCCGTTACACTAACAGGCCCTGTAGCAGGCCTTCAGTCCCAGCTCCGGGGCAGGGAGTGTGTATGTGTGTGTGAAGGCCAGCCTGGTCTACAAACAGAGTTCCAGGAAAGACAGGGTTACACAGAGAAACCCTGCCTCAAAAAACGCTAAAAGAGAAAAGAAAGAAAGAAAAAGAGAGAAAAGCAGAGGTTTGTACGGGCTACTAGAAGGGGGGGCTCTGACTCGCTGGAACTCAGCGGATGGGCTTGTATGGCCTCCCTGCAAGAAATGGCCTTTGGGTACTGGAGAGACAGCTCAGTGCTTAAGTGCACTGTCTGCTGTCCCAGAGGACCTGGGTTCAGTTCCCGGCAGCCCGGGAGCAGACATACACGCAGGCAAAACACCAAAAATAAAGCCAGGCCTGGTGGCACACGCTTAATCAGCCCAGGCTACACAGAGAAACCTTGTCTCGAAAAACCAAAAAAGAGAGAGAGAGAGAGATGGGTATTAATGAACAGTAGTTTTGGTGATGAACTTCATTACCTGGTGTCTCCCCCAGATGGTTAGGGTCACAGCTTCATGGATTAGAGAAGGAAGATCCAGTCATAAAGCCCAGGGCCATTTTCACTCTCTGGCTCCTACTTTCTTTGCGGGGCAGTGGTATAGCGTGTTGGTCCCAGCACCAGGGAAGCAGAGTGGATCTCTGAGTTTGAAGCCAGCCTGGTCTACAGAGCGAGGCTGGGACAGCCCAGCCAAGGCTACACAGAGAAACCCTGTGTCAAAAAACAAACAAAAACAAAACAAAACAAAAAAAAAAAGAAGAGAAAAAAATTATTACACTATCAGTTTTATTTGTATATTTATTTTGCTATTTGAAAGCAATTTAACTGGGTGGCGCAGCCTTTAATGCCTGCACTCAGGAAGCAGAGGCAGGCGGACCTCCGTGAGTTCTGTCAGTCTGTCCTGCAAGGTGAGTTCTAGATCAGCGGGAGCCACAAATGGAGGAGGCCCTGTATTTTAAAAAGTGTGTGTCTGTGTGGTGTGTGTGTGGTGTGTGCGTGTCTGGGAAGCAGTGTTCGGAGCTGAGAGCTAGGGCTGGCCGCGCTGGCTGAGGGCGCCCTTCACTGCCAGCCGCCTCTCTACCCTGCTGCTTCGGTTTTCCTGATACAGTGTTTCATGCCACCCTCGAGGTTCCAGGCGGCCCAGGCTGGCCTTGAACTGGACCATTCTTCTTCCTTTTGCATCATGAGCTTAGGGGAGCCAGCAGGCCTAGCTGCCTGTAGCTGATTACCGGCCCCGGCAGCGTGATACAGCGCCCCCACCAAGGTCCACCGTGCATTACATCACAGCGAGAGTCTCTAACAGTGATCTTATCTTTCTGGGTCTGCTGAACAGCCCCATTTTACAGATGAGGCTCAGAGAGGCGAGCTCACTTGTTTCAGGTCAGGAAGAGGCGTGTGGCCGGCTTAGGGTCGCCACTCAGGTCTGTGTGGTGAGAGCCGTTTCCAGCAGTGACGTCTGCTCGGAAAACGGGAACCGTACGGACCTGGGCTTGAACCCTGAGCCAGCACTTCCTCGGCATGGCTCCCTGGCAGATGGGTTTCCCCTCTGAGAAGGGGCCTTTTATTCCTCATCTGCGGTAGGGGTTGCGACAGTCGGCCTAGCCGGGTTCGTGGGTATGAAGACGTTACAGACAATGCCTGGCGCAGAGCCTGGCACGTCGCGAGCGCTCAGTCAAGGCTGTTATTGTAACAATGGTCATCACTGCTGGACCGCGGCGCTCCCGGAGGGCTACAATCTCCGCGGGGTGCTGCCCGGCCGCAGGCAAGGTTACATAATTCCCAAAGGGGTGACACTTCCCGGGAGGCCCCGGTCTCCCTGAGGAGGAGGCCCCTCCGCAGCGCCGGGGAGCGGGTGCGGGGCCGGCCTGGGTTTGAACCCGCAGCACCCACAGCCCGAAGCACAGGCCCCCTCGGCCGCCGCGTCTCTCCCTCGCCGCCTCTTTTCACGCCTGCTCTGGGCCCAGCTCCAGGGGAAGGAACACGGCCTGCGCGCCCTCGGCCCGCGGCGGGCTGCCGGCCTGCATCCGACCGGCCCCGGCCCCCTGCCTCCCGAGCCCCCACCCGCCGCGGCCAGCGCGGACTCGGCGCCCCCCGCCAGGCCTTGGGCCTCAAGCCCGTCTTCCCCTCCGCCCCCCGGGCACAGCTGCTCAGCCGTCGCCCCCTGCATCCGGCCGCCCCGCCGGAACCCGGGCGCCCGCGTGGAGGTGGCCGCGCTCCCGGGACAGCTGCAGCCCGGGCCGGCCGAGCCCCGGTCGCGTCCTCCGCAGCCGGAGCGGGGCGGCCGCCTCCCGCCTCCGAGGCCGGGAAGGGCTCCCCGGCCTCCGCCCCGGCCCGGGACAGCTGCCCTCCCTCGGGCCGCGGCGGGGGGCTGGGAGAGCCCGGGCCCCGCCCCCGCGGAGCAGAGTCGGCCCCTTCCCCACAGCCACTTCGGCCCGTCCCCCCGCGAAAAATTCCTTCCCCCGGAAGGTCCCGAAAGAAACTCTGCGGGCGGGGACGGCGCGGAGGCAGCGGGGGGCGAGGGCCGCGGACCCCGGCCGGCCGGGTCGGGGGGCTGAGAAGGTCGTGACCCCCGCCCCCCCCGCCCCCCCCCCCCGCCGCGCGGCCCCTTTAAGCCGGGAGCCGGCCGGTGCTCGGTGGCTGCGCGCCGGCGAGCGTGTGCGAGCGCCCGGGAGGGGGCGGGCGCAGCGTCTCCATGGCGACGCGGCGGTGACGTCGCCGGCCGGGGGGCGTGGGCGTCCCGGCCCCGGAGTGCGATATTAACCCGGGAGGCGGCGGCGGGGAGGGGAGAGGCTCAGAGAGGCGAGGCCGGGCGCGGCGGTGAGGGCGTCCCGACGGGCGCGGGACGGGACGGGGCAGCGCGGGCGCCGAGGAGCAGCGGCCCGGAGTCGGGGCGCCGTGCCCCCGGGCCCCCAGCATGAAGACCCCGGCGGACACAGGTGGGGGCGGGGGCCGCACGTGGGGGGACTTGTTGCCCCGGGAGACCGGGGGAAGAAACTTT